GTGCATGTGTGTCAAGGACAGAAAGGCAGATGTGGCAGTGGAAGGTGTCAAAGCAGTTTGTAGAGAAAAACAAAGTAAAGAACAAAAAAAGAAAATGATTAATCGATTATTAAATTAGTCATTGATTATTTTAATAATCGATTAGTCGTCGATTAATCAATTAATCTTTTGCAGCCCTAAACTCTGTGTAAAAAAACAGGATTAAAGATACAAAAATACTATTTTATTTATTTCAAATCCAAATGATCTTTGAATTTCTGACTTACCTCATTTTCCTCTGGGATCAATAAAGTATTTTTGAATTGAACTGAACTGTATTATAGACATGTCCTGTAGACGTCCCATTGAAATATTGATAGTTTCACATTCAACACAATAATGTAATTATTGTTTCTTATGACTACAATCTAATACATTCATGTTGTAAATTAAAGACAAGCAGTTTTCTCTTTGATCCACCATTTGTTTGGTGATAAGTCAGAAACAGGTTGGTTAACTGATGTGTTTATAAAAGCTAAATTTGATGACGTGGTCACTGCAGCCATGGATTCTTAGATGAAACACAACAAGAGTGGAGGAAACAATGACACTTGAGTTAGTTAAAGGAAGAAAATGTATAAAAGGAAAGTTCAAAATTTGAGAGGACACCTCAAGACTGTTGCCTGCATCTCACGTRGCCTGAATTCACTCACCATCTGACTACAAAAATATTTTATATTGTCTCAAAGTCACACAGAATATCTGCCTTTAAGTCCATCAGACTGATCCTCAGATCTGCTTTAAAACTTTTTTTGTTCTTTCTGATGAAACATCAAATAACAGACGTTCTTTTCTTTGTTCTCAGGGTCAGAAGCTGAAGGAGAAACTAACTCCTGTTCTGAATTTACTGACGGAGAGTTCCAGGGTTCACCGGCAGACACGCCACTACTTACGACAGAAGGTAACAGATACGGTTCTGGTACCAGTACTAACAATAAAGCTAAAACCACATCTTTTCTAAAAACATCATCTCTTTACAAACTCACCCTGGGTCCAGTGATTAGACAAACATTCACACAACCACTGAAATGCTCAGAGGTGACGTGTAAAAATATCACCAGTTATTTTGTGGCTGCTTTACTGAAAACAGAACCTTAAATGTTGGACCTGACCCCATGTTCTGACCCAGATCCTGCCTCCTCTGAGGGATGTTGGTGTCCGACCTGAGCAGGACGAGACCCTCCGAGGACGGCTCGTCCGCCTGATGACTCATGTGGACACTGATGTGAAGGACTGTGCTGCAGAGCTGCTCTTTGTTCTCTGCAAAGAAAACGGTACAGTCACACGTCCTTTACATAGCTTCATTTCTTATTTTTAAAAAGAACACACACTGACTAYGAGCTGTAGGTTTTACTCATCAGGTTTTAAAATGATTCTGATCCAATAGAAATCGTGTTTGGTCTGCAGYTTCTTAGCCTTCATATACAACGGTGAGGAGCAACAAGAACCTCGTCTTAATTAGAGCAGAATAATTAAAAAAATATTCATACACTGAATAATGTAAGAAATGTAAGAAATCTCCTTTTTTCCAGTTGTCCCTCACTAAATATCTGGCCTGAAAAGTGTCCACTATGTCCTGGGGCCTCATGTTTCAGTGGTGCGTATGCACAAAAACCTTGCGTACGTCATTATCCATGCAAAACTCCGAATGTATCAAAACTCAACTGAACATGGAAATGTGCAAAGCCCTTAACTGCACTCAGTTCCACATTAATTGTGATGTACAAAAGCAATGTGCGTGGATTCCAGCGTACACACAGTTTGATACATCTGGATTTTTTTGTGCGCACGCCATTTTCTGGATTTGACCGTACGTCAGGTTTCAGTAAGAAATCCACGCAAGTCTTTGTACATGAGGGTCTTTAGACAGACATGAGTCCTGGTCAGTCTATCCTGGACTTTTGGGACGTTGTAGTTTAATTTGACACAAAGTAGAAGATCCAGTTCATCCTCAGTTGACAGAAAGGATTAGTTTTGGTCTTTTTCTTACTCATGTTTTGATAGTTTGAACCATAGTCATCATTTAAAGACTAGTTACCTCATCATGTTGAAGAACATCTTGCTTCACCGCCATGTTGGATGGGTCTCTCGCCTCACTCTAGGCAGCACCAGTGTGAGCAGCAATAACCGTATTTTGGGCAAGAACTGGAACAGTATTGAAAACTGGTCACATGGGTTTACCTTTTTACAAGTAAGATGGAAGAATAGTTTTGGTTATTTGACCATTTATAATATTTTGTCATT